AGACATATGACTGTTAAGTCAAAGAGAGAGAGAGATCTCTTCTTGTAACAACTTCACTTCAAAGCTGTAAAGTTATCTAGGGGATTTATATATGTATATGCATATGCGTTGTTAATTAGTAACAAAGATGAGAAATTGCTATTCAGTTAGCAGAAAAGACAAATGAAAGTAGTCTAGAATTGCATGAGAAATAATAATACTAATAATGTGTGAAAAATAGTGATAATGAATAGTCATCATTCGGAAAATAATTTGTAGGCAACAAGGAAGTGAAAATGAGTTTATCAGGAAACAAAAGAGGTTGGATAAAATGCCGTCGAACACAAAGTTCAGGTCTCTCCTGATGGATTACTAGAGCTTCTGCTACATGCGGAAGATGAAAGCGAAATTCTTTTGAACAGCTTGATCGTACATCGACTGAGATGGTTAGGACATGTGTTACGGACGCCTAGTCATCGCCTTCCTCGATGGGCAATGTTAGCTGACAATAGGGTCAGGCTGGAAAAGAGCTGGCGGTGGTCAAACCAAAACATGGCACCAGTCAGTCAAATCTACAACAGTTAGTTTAAGCCAGCCACGTAGGGAGGTGTATACTTCCTGACTGGTTGGGGTCCTCGGGACGGTAAAAACCAATGGTTGGAAACAATTGATGACATGGCTCAAAATCGTTCTCAATGGCTGACGCTGATGCACCCACCCCTTGTGGCGTATGATTTCCAATGAAACTGTTTTGTTCTTCGTTATTACTCTTCCTTTGTCTCACACCTCTGTCTACTGTCTCTATTATGCATTTCTTCTACTTTCTTGTGTTGCTTTGTGTGCTACAAGGAGAAAGTGTGGCGACTTGCATTGCCGCACATATGTGCAAAGTTCTATGTTGAAACCAGACAGATCATGCTTAATATTATAACTCTGAATATGATAACTATGAGAATAACAATAAGGCTTTATTCCAGACAGCACACAAACACAGAGTATAGAAATACTCAGCGATTTTTTTCCAAAATCTTTCCTCTTCATACAGGATTTACACGTCAAGTAGTAATCTGAAGTATATTATATGGCGTAGCTTTGTGATATATGAAGACGGAACCAATTCTGTACATTCTTGCCTCATTTCATTTCTTTAATTGGTTGGAGGATTTCATCATGAGCTGACATTGGTTAAAGAACCATTGGAAAACCTGGAAGTTCTACCAGATGGCTGTTTCGTCAGCCTAGTTTGGGACTCTTTATCAGTACGCACCCACCGGGGTTCGAACCGAAGACATTCTGGCTACAAGGCTAGCGACCAAGTTTGCAGACCATTAAGCCACTGGGATCCAACTGGTTCAATGGCCAGTCAGTGCATGAACTCTAACTTCTGCCAATTCTTTCAAGAATTGTATAGCCTTTTAGTGAGAAGCTAATTAAATATGTTCGCTAGTTGGCATACTGATCATTTGATATAATCTCCTGACTAAAACAATAAGAAATGCAGAAGAATTTATGCATTCTGATGAATGGTAATTCTCGTAGTCTAGTGATTTAAACAGGCCGCTGTGTACACGTAACCAATAATTCTGGTTAATTAACTATTTGGACGAAGTGATAACACATTGAATCAAATATTTGCAACTATATATGGAATTTACATGAATATTAGCAATTTTTTCAACAACTCGAGGTGCATATAAACGTATTAGTCCATTGAAATGTCTATACTCCTTGAATGTAGTCGATTTAGTATGCATGATAAGAGTAAGACAGAATATTCTGAATTCAAGTATTGGTTTTTAGGCCCTATTCAGGTGGGTCAGGAGGCAAGTCGTGACCAGTAGGGTTCAGCAGTGTAAAGACAAATACTCACCGAAGACATTGGCTAGTGGTCGCGCTATGTCTTGAATTGGCAGAAGTTAGAATTCATGCACTGGCCATTGGATCGAATCCCAGCGGTTTAATTGTCTGCGAGTTTGCTTGCCTTGTAACCAGAAATCCTTGGGTTCGAACCCCCCTGTGGTGGGTGCGTACTGATGAAGAGTCCCAAACTAGGGCGATACAAATGTCAGCTCACGATGAAATCCTGTAACTACTCTGCATTGTAAGAGAATCTCAGTGGTGATAAATAAGATTGGGTTTGACTGATGAACAAAACTCCCTTAGAGGTGGTGGCATTCTGACTGATAGATTGATTGCTGACGAAATCTTGATGAATACAGGATACTGTTTCTTTGTCATTAGTTTAGTCAACGAATTCTAACTAGTAGATTCAATGTTGAGTTTCTTTTCTCTATGATACTATGGGTGGGTGGGGGTTGGTGTGTGTGGCGTGGATTTAATATCTGTTTACTCCTCGTGCTGGGACTGTTTACCCTAAGTCCTTCAGATAACATGATTAGCAAGTTACAACTCAATGAAGTGGGTTCAAAACCAATTACCCACTCCGTTCGACAGTCTTGGTTGTGAACGTCACTCTCACCATCTTAAAAAATTTTGTATTATGCAGGATTACTCACCCTACCACTACAAACACCGCATTAGAGCTGACAATAAAAAACCTGAAATGTTTATTTTATGATTGTTTAGTGTTGTTCAATCAAATTAACTGATCATGCGATAAACATTCTTAGTATCAAATGAACTGTAGTCAAGATTTGACAGAATAGTTCTAAAATATTTGGGCGCCGAGTGAGAAGTAGACATAAATTCTAGATACTAACAGATTGAACAGACATGAAGGTGTGATGTTAGATGATGCATAGAAAATCCTGATTAATAAATAAGAATGGATATGTATCACTAATTAATAATACTTGGTCAAAGTTCCCGACTGTCTATATCTACTTATGGAGACGTTAAGACATTGTTTTACAACTGTTTATCCGCACACACATACACACTGTGTTTAAAGTGTTTAACAAAGGTAGATCAATATTTGTAAGTCTGAGGTCAAATTTTGATCACAGCTCGTACAATTTTGTTAATTATACTTTGTTGATGCCTGTTTTATGACTCATGATTGGACAAAGTGTTTTTAAAAACAAGAGATGTTCCATTTATATATAAACCTCTGTTATGTTAATTTCGATTAATTTCCCTGAAGAAGTTCGGACCAGGTTGCCGAACGAAACGTTGGAATTACTCATTTCAATATCGCTGAGATTTTACAAATATAATTTTTTACAAATTCTTAGTATCATTTCATAACTTCTTGTATGATATAGTTTTACCGTTCACCACGCATAAACATATCATAGCTTCCAATACCCAATACTGAGATATTATTTATTATGTTGTTTATCTTCGTCTCTACTTCTTGGTATTTTTTCTCATTTTTTTGCTATTTTGTGTTTTTCTTTGCTGTTGTTTTTTATATTTATTTGTCGAAATACTCCTTTTAAATGTTTGATAAAATTAGATGCAATATTGTTGATAAGTGCTGAAAATTCCACACTGTACCACTAGTACTGTTTCTAGAATAAAGCATTTATCATTATTTAAGACGACAGTCAGTCATTAATATAATCTAGTGTTGAATGGCCCTCCAGTTTATGTTTCTGTACGCATCACAAGAAACATTTCGAACAGGCTATTTCAAACGTTTTTTCAATAGCTCCTTATTGAGGATCAGATAGCCAGCGAGAAATTATCTACATGTAATAACAAGAAAGTCTGGGAACATACAGATTATGAACGTATTGCTCAACAAATATGCCATGGCTCGAATGGAGCATAGACGGGGAACGACGAGTTGAGGTTTTTTTTGTCTGAGTTTGACGTGAGTGAGATTCATCATATTGAAAAAAATCCCCATTTACACATTTAGAAAACAGAAAGATTGAGCGAAGAAATGTTTTTCATGATGCGCTGTCTAAATTTCTGATCCATATAGAAGCACTAACTGTTTCATATTTTTCTGTTGTGATTTGAAGTTTTTCTCTAGCGACTGAATTTATTTCCCTAAACCCAATCTCCTTGGCTTTATAACTGACAAGAAAACCAAAGAACTAGATTTATGTTTTCTCCTATGGTTTCTTTGTATTTCCTTTATTTTACTCCATATTTACGTACACTTTATGAAGTGCGACAGGTTGAATTGCTGCTTCACTGTAGAGCCAATGCTCACCACTTGAAATCCAGTCCACGTTTGGTATAACAAGTGTGGGTGGATTAGGGGGGATGTCAATTCTGTATGCATGTAATGCGCTAATTGTTTGCATTTTGTATTCACATCGAGCAAAAAGTACTATTGTAACGAGAGAAGACAAGGGTCAGGCAACAGATCGTTTATTGAGGAAATCAATAGATATTTATAAATTTTTATGTACATTATTATACGTTATTGTTAGCAGAGAAAAAATGTCTTCTGATTGGTTGTTCTCTCGCTGGAAGTTATTCTGTCATCTCTTTGTGGCGATTTCTTTGAAGGTCAGACCATATATCTTCGAATCGTATCCGCCCACGCAAAGTCCTTGTTCTTGTTTTATTTCTCATGTCCAAGATTTGGGAAGTAAACATTGACGTAAATTGCTGTCTACCAATTTTAGCTAGCAGGCAGCTCTCACCACACGATCAGTTTGGTCAACTAGTTTGTGAGTTTTTGTTCATCCATCCATTCTGATAGCTTCGAAGATTAATTTATCTCTGAGGTTAGAGAATATGACTCGTTGAATTCTGAAAATTGTTATCTCTTAAGTGGGATGTCTTATACCCATGCATTCATCTTGTCTGGATTGGGTTTTTATATTCATATATGATGAGTGCCCTCCTGAAAGATATCGGGGTGGGGTTGTCAGTTCAGTAGCCTGAATACACATTTGCCTTGCCATTGTTGGGCACACTAAGCCTCAACTTAATTCCATCTACCTGAATTTAAGTAACAGTTCAGCTAAGTATCATAAATCATTAGTGCACTAACTGTTAAGTTTCGTAGTTGTATTTTTATAACATAAAGTACTTAGTAGTCATTTTAGTAGTATATAAACCTGTTTTTTCTACTTTCTTTTAATGTTCACTCATAGTCGTCTTCCGAGTAATATACGCCCTGATTACACAAAATTGGGTATATCTCATCCATTCACCTATCCTTGGTCTGAACTGATTGTGCAGTATGCCTCAGGAATAGTAAAACCTACAGATACGACTGCTACTACTACTACGATGACGCCGACTTCTAGTTTTCCTACGAATGAGCTGACATCAACAACAACAAGTACTGATAACACTGATGTAGCTGGTAAAATTACCATTGATGAAAATAACTGGTTTGTTCTACGTGAACCAGCTTTATTACGTTTAGTTGTGCACAGAATGATAACTGGTGACAATCGGGCTAAATTATCTATACAACAGTCGTACAATTATAATCCATCACTTTTAAACGCACTAATTCTAGTAAGTAATAAGGTTATTCCAAGTTAATTTTGTTTATTAAATATATAAGATTTAGTGAAACAGTATTATTTGCTGGATGACTAACTTTCAAACACGAATGATTATTGTTCATAATCATACTATCAAATTATATAACTACAGAACTTCTAGACTTTCGTTTATTAGTTTTCTTTATTCCTTCCTGTTCGTCGTCCTAGGATTAGTAGTAGAATTTTCCAGATGTCCAGTTGGACAGGTGTTGAATCATTCCTGTTGCACGTATTCACAGTTGATTCGATAAATAAAGCTTCCGTTATCAATCTCTCCCTCCACTCTGTGTCATTAGATTTTAAAACTGTCATCCTATTCCATCATTCTATTGTATGGTGGTGTGTAATTGCATACAGTAAGTGGTATAGCTGAACTATTCTCTAGATTTCTTATCTTATTTGGGTCAACTAATCTAGATTTTGTTAGGTTTTTATGTTCCGCTAGTCTGACTGACTGTACCTATTCTACTACTTTGACCTATGTATTTGACTTGACAGTCATTGCAGACAGGGTATTAGATAAACTAAATTCTTTTGTTTTATTGGCTAAACTTCACAGAATCCTTTAACGAACAAAGTTAGTTTCTAATTCAGTTTGTGGGGTGATTGAATGCCAGCCACTTTTATTCCTTCCTGCAATGTTAAGAATTCTCCGTAATGTGGTTTCTGTAGTTCCTTTTATTGAATGTTCATCACAAAGATTTAAAACTTGAATGGTCATTAAGATTTTGCATTATCATCGTCACACTAACAGAAATTATTTAACAGTTGTACGACAACGGCACATGTCAGGTGATCCACAACGGAAAACCCAGCAAGGCGTTTGGAGTAAACACAGGAGTCAGACAAGGGTGCTTATAATCACTAATGAATGATATTCCTAATTGTGGTGGACTTGGATTGCGCGTCAGACAGTGGGAAACGAGAAGACAGGGATATCCTTTCTGGACCGACATGAAGAACGTAGAAGACCTGGATTTCGCGCGTGGATGATTTATGTTTGATGTCACACAAATTCGAAGACTTACAAGCGAAAACCGACAAACTGGTCGAAGAAGCAGAAAGAGATTATGAAAATAACCAACCAATAACAACAACAGAAGAAACATCTAGCGCCAATCACCATCAACGGGAGGGATTTGAAAGAGGTTACTTCATTCACTTATCTAGGGAGCATTGTCTCAACTACAGGAAGTTGGAACGCACGAGGATGTCAAATCGAGCGAGAATCGGGAAGGCGAGAAACACATTCATCAACCATCATCACAAACCAATCTGGAAATCGTCACTCAGCATCAACAACAAAATTCAGTCGGATTTTCAATAAAAACGTTAAGTCAGTCAGTTCTTCTATACGGATGAGAAACTGGGCGGGTCACAAAGAATATTTCCAACAGCCTGTTGGAGACCATTATCAACAACTGTCTTCGCTGGCTCTATACTGAAGATCAGATGGCCGGGCTGGAAAGAATCACCAAAAGGAAACTATGGGAACGAACGAAACAAGAACCATTCGCCAACCAACAAATATGCAGGAGAAAGTGGAGATGGATTGGACACTCACTGAGGAGGCCGCTGGGTGACATCGTGCGTCAGACCCTCGAGTGGAACCGAAACGGAAGCGGCGAGCGGGACGTCAGTGCAAGGGTGATATGGAAGTGATCGTGTGAAGAGTTGAGGAGTTGAAACAGTATGGACTAACATGGATGCAGGTGAAAAGTACAGCACAGGACAGAAGCAAGTGGAGACGTGCAGTTGAAGCCCTATGTTCCACTAGGAACCTAAGGGAACAATAAAAAACAATAATTATACACTAACAGAACTGGGATTCCTGGTAGCGAAATATCGGTATTTATGTCAGTGGTTCATTGGTGGAGTATCCACCCGGCACTCCTAAACCTCGTCTAGTTTATACTCTAGGAGGTTGGAAATGAAATCCCATCTTGTGAAAACAGCAACACCATCGTTAATGAGACTTCAAATACTTGAAGTGTTCTGTGTCCCACTCAGAAAACAGTGGAATCAAAAGAAGTATTAAGTAAGTTCATGTCTTTTCATGTTGGCGAAGATATCACGTTAAAAACATAATGGACCTGCGTGTCTCCCTGCCTGAAGGTGACTCATAGGAAGAGAAGGAAGAACTGTGGGTGCTTGGTTTGAATCTCAATGGAAACACTAATACAAGTCACTAGATATTGCGGGTGTCCCCAGTTTGACGAGTCCTAAATGGGGACGAAATGCGCATCCTGGATTCTATCGTCAAAGCGTCTGTACTAGGAGTTGAAATGTCAATCGAGACACTGGTCATTTGAGTTCTGCATAATCAATCAAATAGGAAATATTGCTAGTTAAATCTAATTAAATTGAATTTCTATTCTACTAACTGATCTAACTTATTTGTATTTTATTCTTACTCTGGTGTGTTTTATTACAATTTCGCGCTAATTACAAATCAAGGTTTATTTGAAATCTGAACAACGTGGTGTTCCACAGTCCTATGCACGTATTTATGCATTTTATGATAATTCAAGAAAGACAAGCATTCATCATCAGATCCAATCAAATCGTAGTGATGATGATGATGATAAGAAATCGAATCAGCAACAAATGCCTCCTCCTCGTTATCTCCTTGGTTATGTACAAGATGGTGGATACGGTCAATCGATTGGTCGTGGAATTGGTCTAGGCTTTATCAGTTTAAGTGCTTTATCGAATGCATTAACTCAAACTGACAATAATAATAAGATAATAAAATATTGTATTCAAAATTCGACATCAATGCAATATTATAATGTTAAACTGTCAGTAGTTATTTGATGAACAGAACACGGAACAAAGGAGAAAGATTGAGGAATATGTACACTTCAAAACAGTTATGTCAATGTCTGTACATACTGTATTATATAGAGGAAAAAAATATATATTACATACTATAATTTTATATGGAAGATGCAAATTTTGCTTGTTCTTTTGAAGTGCGTGTGTGTATAAAACTCACACTATCAGTCGTGTCGATTTTTTTATTTATGTCAAGTAAAAGGGAACCATTAGAAAACCAATAGCAAGGGAGGGACTACTGGACATCTGTTTCGTGGGCCTAGTTTGGGACAAGTTAGCCTGTAGACCATTCATCCAAGTCACTGGGATCCGACTTAATGGCCAGCTCATCAATTCTAACTTCTACACATTTTAGTACGACCACCGTCCGATGGCATCACCAGCGAGTATTTGTTCTTACTGCCGTCCTAGTCACGACTTCTCTTTGGAATCACGAAATCACATTGGTTAAGACTGATGAGGTGGTCATGGAATCGGCTTCCAGTGGCTGAATTGAATGGTCTACGAGCTAGCTTGACTTGTAATCGGAAGTTCTCCCGACCTGTGTTGGGTGAATACTCCTGGCACAAGGCTGTTGTAGGTCGTTGATTATCCCGATATACAAGAAGGGAGACAAATCTTTCTGTGATAGTCACACGGGAATTAGCTTCACTAATATGGTAACTGAGTGTTTCGGCGGTATAGCGGTTAGGACGCTCGCCGACCATGCATATGGCCCGGGGTTCGATCCCCGGTCGACGCACTCCTTTTATCTCGCTGAGCCAGAAATAATACTGGTAGGGAGGAAAGGTTGGGCAAGGGGCTAGTCACCCCACTAGCTTGAAGCCCTATGTTCCACTGGGGAACGAGAAGGAAAACAATATGGTATCTAAAGTTCTAGACTCAATAATATTGCGTAGACTAAGCGGTGCTCAGGAGGAACAAACACGAGAGAACCAGGTAGGCTTCAGACCAGGAAGGAAGAGGGTGTATTGCTCATATCTTCACCCTTCGATAGATTCTGGAACATAGACATACTTTCCATCGCTGTCTAACAATCGTTATATTTCTTGACCTGAAAGTGGTATTCGATTCTGTTGACCGAGAGGTTCTCTGGCCATGCTTGGCTGTAAAGGGAATACCGAGAAAATACATTGCACTAATTAAGGCACTCACTCTACTCGATCTCATATGCAGCCAGGTAGGAGCGTACTGAGTGTTGTCATCTGAAGTGGTGACAACTAGTGGTGTTCATCAGGAGGCAACTTTAACTGTAAGCACCACTAACTAACAATCAGCAAATGACCTCGAACGCACCAATCACGTGAACGAGACATTTTTGTGTATGGAATAAATATATTTATGAAATAATGGATAAAAACAGTAGAAAAGCGTTACACAGGATACCTTGCTCTCACATGTGATAAAAATAGCTCTCAGTTTTAGGTTGGAGTATCAACAGAGTATGATTCCATTGTGGGTAAAATTTATTTTGATAAAGTGTCATAATGTTACAGACTGAGCAATAAATTGTGGTCGAAACGTCATCAGTAAATATCACTATGAGACTTTATCAAAATAAATGTTACCCACAAAGGAATTACACTCTACCACAGTACAGAAGTTTTATTCTTATATCAACAGAGTAATTGAACCACACTCTATGCATGTAATTATTTAGGTCTTCTAACCCTAACAAAAACCCTAATCTTTTCTGAACCTAACCCAGCAAAAAATAGTATATCATCCTTTTTCACGAATCATGTGATTTATCTTGTGATGGAGTTACTATGTGAATGTACCATTTCTCACATGCATATTGTGATTTAGTGTGTGAGATCAATTTATCTTTATTTTTCTCTCACCTTGATCTTTGTGCGATCAGCAACCAGTGAGAATAGAAATTTCTAGCCAGTAAGAACAATCCATTCCCACGGTTGTTACCCGACTTTATTATGGTAAGGAAAATGTATAAATACCATGTGTTGTTGCCTAAACTACATAGGGTGGTATAATACAATATCTTACAGTCACAGGCCTGGCAGCCCTTGTCTTTTGATATCCGTATGGCTCAGTGAATCGGAAGGTACAACGGACAAATAGACGTATTAGCGTACCAGTCAAGTTCATTACCGTTACAGTAATTAAAAGGCGCAGACATAACAAAGTAGCAACGGATTTATTCATTTCAGTGATAACAAATTGGCAACAGAGTTATAACAACTAACTGTAATCTAACTCGAGCCAACTCTAATGTCGCCTTTATTAGGTTAACCAAACCCTAACTTGTCCATGACTTAAAGCATAACTTAGTCTTTCCCAAACCTAAGCTGAAACTTGCCAGATATCCCATCTAGTAGCATAACGCTTCGATAAACATATTTTACTGATGATGAAAACATTATTTGTCAGGTTTCACTAACTTGCTCAGTGAACGTCCCAAGGTCATTGGTGCGGTCGCACTCCATTGGCAGCTAGTGGTGCTTAAAGTTTAACTTGGCCCATTAGGGATGCCCATCGTCTCCATTTCTGTTTAATTTCATCATACGTATCGTAATAATGAACTTAACCCTAACTGACCTGACTTCAGCGACTGACTTATTGCCACTAGTGAATGTCGTTGACTTAGAATATGCAGATGATATAGTTCTCCCTCCTAAATGTAGACAGGGTCTTCTGAACATCTTGAGGAGCAGCAGTCTTCGAATATATAGCATGCACTTCTCTCCTGTCAAATGTAAAATGGTGCTACAGGAATGGACTACACAGACTCCTAGCTTAGAAATAGAGAGTGAAGTGGTAAAGTACGTTGACCACCACCTTCACTTATTTTGGAAGTACCATCAGCCAACGCCAACGGGTTGATCTCTGAGGAAATCTCAGAACGGATACAGAAGGCTAGTTTCGTATATGCCAGTTTACGCCGCCTCTGGCCTAAACATGATGTCCGGCTATTGACCGAAGGGTGTGTACTGCTCAGCAGTCCATTCCATCCTCCTTTATGGCTGTGAGTGAGAGATGGCCATTGTGAGTGAAAGACATATGAAGGCTAGCTGTCTTTGATCATAAGTGCCTGCATTCTATCTTCCGTGTTAGGTGTAATAGGGTGAGCAATATTGAGGGTAGGCATCGAGTGTTAAGTAAGGAGGGGAAATCGACCAACGGGGTTGTGAAGTTACACCGATTGAGGTGGTTAGAAGATGTGTTATGCATGTTCGCCCAGTCGTCAATGATCTTCCTCGACGTGTAATGCTAGCTAACATAGGGTGCATCACGTTGGAAAAGAGGTCGTGAAGGTCAAACCAAAACGTGACATCTGTGAATGAAATGCACAACAGTTAGTTTAAACCAACCATGTAGGGATGTGTAAAATTCCTGACTGGTTGGGGTCCTCGGGACGGTAGAAACCAATGATGGCTAGAGACAATTGGTGTTATGCCTCAGAATCGATCTCGATAGCTGATGCAGATGCCTTCACTCTTTGTGGTTTGTCATATCCAATAAAATTCTACTGTTCGTCCATATCACTATTCTTGTCGCCTCATATTTCTGTTTGAATGTTTCTTCTCTTGCTTTGTGTGGCAACTGGAACTGCTGCGCATCTATGCAAAGTCCTATGTTGAAACCAGTCAGTCAGACACCAATGATTGACCGTGAACGCATAAGTGTCGTGTAATTACAGTGCTAGTGTATGAACGTTGTGCATGAATTGAAGCACCAAATTGATTATGGTCTCCTTTCTTAAGTAAGGTAAGTATTAGCGTTAGGGTGTTTTTATTGTTCTAATAGATGAAATCGTTTTGATAGCTATGAAACTTGGAAACTGGTACACTTAATCGAAATTAGGAGATATTTTCCAGTTACGTCAGGATAAAATCACGTCTTTAATGTTTTTTTTTAATATTGTAAGGTTATTTTTTTTTCCTGAATAGACGGGGTTTTTTGATGTATAATAGACGGTAAGTTCTCTAATTCAAGGAGTGGTTGGTGGCCAAGGCCCCTGGCACATCCGCATTCTGTGGTCGCTATTCTTTATTAGTTTGAAGAGAGAAAGAGCGAACATGTTTGCTGGATAATACGAGCTCGTTTTATTTCGTGGATACTCATCAACTGCATACATCCTAAACAAAATCAAATTATAAGTTTCAAAAACGTTTTGGAACATACTTTTTCATAATTACTTAGAGTTATAAATAGAACGTATAAGGAACGTAATTCCGGAATCTGATGTAGGTAGACAGATTATTCAGTGTCAAAAAAAACAACTAATTATATATAGTGGAATTAGATAAGAGCGGTTAGAGTTCAGATTTCTGTTGGAAAACACAGATTGGTTAGAGGCATATTACAGGGTCAGGGTTAGAGAACAGAGTGAATTTACACATTTTGTGGTGGAGAGTTTAAGAGGGTGGAGGTGAATAGTGAAGTAACATTTTTAACTTAAATGGACAGTTAAGTAGATTTAGAAACTTGAAGGTCAAAATTGAATAGAATGTTTCGTAACAAGACAAACACACAGGCATACTGACAAAAAGGCAAAACAAAAATAAAATAAAATAGGATTAGGGTTACCAGGGCAGTGAAAGATTAGTCACACTATCTTTCTGTATACAGAGGTCTGGTCGAAGTCTCTTGATAGCAATGGCTTCTGCGAAACGAAGTAGCCATGGGTTTCTTTGCGTTTTGATTATTTTGAAGGCTTGGCTAATTTCTACTGTGTGTCCTGTGTCAATTAAGTGTTTGGCGATTGCACTCGATAACACTTTTCTTCCTTTTTGTACGGAGACTCTTAGGAATGTGCTCAGAAAATCTAGTAGATGCTCTCCTCTCAGTCCTTCCTATGTACTTGCTTCCGCAGGTGCACGTGAATTGATAAATGCAGTTGGAGTTGACGTGAGTAGGGTACTCATCTACTTTTGTCTGGGTTAACGAGCACACAGTGTTGTGAAATAGGATCAGTCTGGCAGCTGGAAATGTTTTTTTTAATGCGCCTGTGATTGTTTGTGTTCTTGTGGATACGTCTTCCCCTTTGTACGCTAGGCAGATGAAAACTGGTTTCTTTTCAACGGTGTCAGGTTTCGGTTTGTGTGCTTCTTCATCTCTATACTTTAATATGAACTTTCGGGGATATCTATTCTCGATGAGGTTCTTTTCGATGACGGCGAGTTCTTCTTCAACAGTGTCTTCCGAACATATTTCTTTGGCTCTGCTGAAGAGCGTTTTTACTAGACCTCGTTTGTAGCTGGTTGGGCAAAAGCTGTGATAATTTAAGTATTGACCAGTCCAGGTTTCTTTCCTGGACTTTCTTTATGTTTGCCCGATTCCCAACCGACGCACTCCTTAACCCCGCATACACCTTTTTATTCCTTTTACGTAATAGTGGTTTTGTTTTCATGGGGTGGCGTAGCCAGCCTCATGCCCCCCCCCAACCTTCCCTCCTTACTGGCCTAACGACTTAACGAGGTTTAGCAGTGCGCCAGCTGGAGATCGGACCACGTGGATGTTGAGTGTTCCGCCATTGAACCACGGACGCACAATGCGCTACTGCGTGTAAAAGCCAGGAATCCTAACCGCCTACATTAATAGCAGGTGATAAACCCCATAGAGAAGGGGTTGTGAAGCTACCAACCATCCTGCAGCTGAAAATTGAAAAGCCTGAAACCCTGTGTCCCAGTTGGAACACAAGGAAAGCAAGAAAAAATTTGTTTAATGAGGTAGATAATTTACTTGCAGTGGTTTCATTGTCCTGCTGGACAAACTGAGCTTTCACAATTCCTTTCTTGGTTGTTTATTTGGGCTTTCTGAGGATTTTGTCTGCTTGATCCTTTCTTTGACCTTTTGGTCAGGTCACATGAGCTAGTCTTCATTGATAAGTAAATCCGATAGATGGATATAAAAACGTGTCTACTAATTGCCAATTGAATTGAGTGAGTACTAGGCTTTCCTAGGAAATATGGCGTTTTTCTTATTCCTTACAAGATTTGTTATATATTGTCCATAAAAAAGTTTGTTAAGTATCGTCTGTTTGATGT